TGTAGATACTCCTTGATCTTGTCAAAGGTTATATGGCAATCGTCATTCCATTTTACTACCTGATTCTTCTTCAGCAACTTAAAGATCGGCTCACAGGTAGCGGTCAAATGAGAAATAAATCTGGCAATGTAATCCAGTTGTCCCAAGAAACCTCTGAATTTCTTCTCAGTACGGGGAGCGGGCATTTCTTTAATAGATTTGACTTTGGCGTGATCAACTTCAATATCTTTATCACTGACTACAAAACCCAGGAGTTTACCAGATCTCACCTCAAAGGTGCACTTGTCCAGATTCAATCTCAGCTTATACTTCCTTAGTATCTCAAACAACTTATATAGATGGTCCATATGCTCTTCTTCAGTCTGTGACCTGGCTATCATATCATCAACATAGAGCTTTATCTCGTGATGAATCGTATCATGGAATAAAGCTACCATGGCACACTGATATGTTGCACCGACATTCTTCAACCCAAAAGGCATAACCTTGTAGCAGAATGCGCCCCACTATGTAACAAAAGTAGTCTTTTCCATGTCTTCAGGTGCCATCTTGATCTGATTATATCCTGAGAAACCATTCATGACGGAGAATACCTTATGCTGAGCGGTGTTGTCGACCAAAACATCAATATGTGGAAGCGGGAAGCCATCCTTGGGGCTCGCCCTGTTCAAATCCCTGTAGTCTACATACATATGTACCTTGTCGTCTTTCTTTGGTACCAGAATCACATTCGCAACCCATTGAGGATAGGATGTCACTGCTAAGAACCATGCGTTGAACAGTTTCATTACCTCAACTTTGATCTTCTCTGACATCTCGGGACGCATGCGACGAACCTTCTGCTTTATCAGAGCATAACCCTCTTTCATCGGCAGACGGTGAACCACAATATCAGTATCAAGCCTTGGCATGTCTTTATATGACCAATCAAAGATCTCAACATATTCATGCAACATCTGTATTAACTTTCTTTTGAGACTGTCCTCCAAGTTGGCACCTATCTTGACTTATTTTCTGTCTTTTCAGTACCCAAGTTTACCATTTCAACTGACTCTTCATGTGGTTGAATAACTTTCTCTTCTTGCACTAACAGTCTGGCAAGTTCTCCTGGTATTTTACAATCTTCCTCACCTTCATCCTCGGCTTGGTAGATCAGATTTTCAAAGTCATAAGTGGCAATAGCAGAGTCATTATCGACGAGATCCAGAATGGATGTGGATCTGCAACTTATTGTGTGGGTGTGTGTAAGGACACATATCTTGAAAGTGATAAAAGTAAACAGAAAGACAGAGAGCACAAAATTTGAATGCAACATGTCTAATGCTTTATTAAATGGAGACATCTTTAGTTGAGGCAGGAGGGATAACTTCAAAAGTTTGACAGGGAGTCTCGTTGAATTCACCGTCCATCTCTATATACTGGAAATAATTCAAGTGGCTAACCATATACTCTTCCTCACCATATACGGTAACAATATTTTCGTTCACATGATACTTTAATTTCTGATGTAAGGTAAAGGTGACAGCGCCTGCCCCATGGATCCAGGGGCGTCCTAGTAAGCAAGAATAAGCTGGCCAAGTATCCATCACGTAGAAGTTGGATTCAAAGATCTGTGAACCTACCTTGATTGAAAGATCCACTTCCCCGTGTACCATCCTTTTTGACCCATCAAATGCTCAAACTATAATATCACTGGGTTTCAGTACGACCACTTTGCTATCAAGTCTGTCAAGTGCACCCTTTAGTAGAACATTTAATGAAGAATCAATATCAACCAATACATGAGCCAAAGTAGCGCCCCTGCATTCAATGGAGACATACAAGGCTTTGTTATGATTTCTTCCCTCAGGAGTCAGATCAACATCAGAGAAACCTAATCCATTGTCAGTCGTTAAGATAGCAACATAACTTTCAAATTGATTGGCAGATATCTCTTGTGGCACATGAGTAGTCTTCAAGAGTTTAACTAAATTATGTACATGAGCTTCAGAACACAATAACAGGGATAACATATAGCTCTTGGATGGGCTTTGTTATTATTTTTAAATCTATTACAAGTTTTATTTTCTAAATCATAATGTGGATCTAATTTTATTTATTACAAATATTTCATTATTATTATCGAATTATAGAACCTAATTTTTCCTTATAAATTTTAGAAACAAAAATCTTTTTATTTAACCAATATTTATTTGTTCTATAATCAACATTTTGTTTTATAAACTCTAAATTTAAAATTTGCCCTTTTACTAATTGCTTAACAAATTGGGATAAATAGGTTTTTACTAATTAAAACTCTTTTTTTTATTAACTTTAAAATATGTTTACTAACTCTAATGCTATTTTTTCACTTACATATTTATTCAATTATTCACTTCCACTTCTATTTTCAATCCACAAAATCAAACAATTAAAATTCATACAACTCACAAATTACTACATCTGTGAGCGACACGTGACTAATATCTGACCACCTGATGAGGAGACTATATCAGACTCCCCCGCTCTATGTCTTAATATATCTAACCAACATTCAAACCATTTTTCTAATAACCTGATAAAAATCCAAGATCATTTTCGAAAAAGGATTAAGGAGAATTATTTTTAAATTAATTGCGAGCTGCATTTACGATCACTCAACTTACAAACCAGACAAGGTTCAAGGATAATTCGAAATCAATTCTATGTAATCCTATAAAAAACACCAACCAACACCGCGAACTACGAATTGAGACTCTGATTCCTCATAAGAGGATACGTATGCATATGACTAAAATCGTGGCGAGTTCCCCTAATAAAAATCAAAATCCTATTTCCTAAGTCATAATTCTAAACCCTAGTATCCTTGTGAACAAGGTAGATGTGGGGTACCTAACACATTCCCTTCGTCTAGAAATGAGTCAAACAATTTAGAATCTCTGATCATATTAGGGTTATCCTTTATATCCCCTTCTCAAAGATAAAAATTAAGGGCGACGAATCTCAATTTAAAACTAGTTACAACACCTAATAAAAAATTAAAACCCTATTTCCTAAAGATCGCGCTTCTAAACCTAGTATTCTTGTGAACAAGGTAGATGAAGGGGTGCCTAACACCTTCTCTTCGTCTAGAACCGAGTCCAAGAAAACCTAGAATCTCTAACTTTTTAGGGTTATCCTTTATACTCTCTTCCTTAGGATAAAAATTAAGGGTGGTGACTCTGTATTTTAAAACCAGTTACAACAAGGAATTACACTTTTGTTCATACGTCGACCACTGTGAGACGATACCATTTTATGAGGTTGCGTTGTTTACAGGTTGGTTGGTCTGCAGGACTCGCAAGATGGCTGCTTATATGCTTGAGCGGATGATGCGTCAGTTCGGGTACACCTAGACCATTCTACGGGATCCTTCTGTATGTGCTTCTTCGACGTAGAAATGGAGGGATATGGATGCTTTGTTTGATGATTTTGAGAATCATCTTGTTCCTGACGAGGCCAGGAGTACCATAGCACCCGACGACTAGAGCTACGAGTATAGTTACATGATATGGTTCTTCCAGGTGTCTCATTTATACATGGTACAGAATGCTCCAGGGAACCCACCGAGGCCAGTTCATCAGGAGATCCTAGAGGAGGAGTAGGCTAGGGTCGATCGTGCCACTGACGTGTTGCCTAGGTATCATCGTATCATGGAGATTGCGCGAGATAGTATTGATAGAGGTCTGTTTTCTGATGGATTCGATGACAGAGGTGTTTTGGATGCCATCATGGCAGAGGCTAAGGAGGCTGTGTTACAGGAGGCAACTGAGGAATGCCTCAAGGGTTACAGGCCGACTCATCATCCGCCATACTCCAGTAGTATTTGATGATGTTTTGTATTTTGGTTCTTGTTTTTTATTATTGTATTTGAATTACATTTTTGGGTTATCCCTTTATCGACCACAAACACTTTTTGTGATGTGTAATGCTATATCACTATATATATAATCAATGTTATGCCTTTTTCAGTGTTAGAAATATGATTGAAACCTTCACTTTTGAACCCTGTGAGGATTCAGCTTCCAATTGAGTCGGTATGTTAAGTACAAACTTTCCACATACATTAATAGAGCTTTTTAGCCATTCGACGTTTTGTCTCTTTTTTTTTCTTTCCAATGCTTCTAGAAATATAAGAAATAATAGAAAGAAGCGGCTAAACCCCTGCTTGATAAAGTAAAACTAAAATACGGGTAGCTCGATCGCTCCGATTGGTTTCGGTCTAATCAATGAATCTATAGGGGTCCACCTAATATTTCGCGCATATATATATATATATATATATATATATATATATATATATATATATATATATATATATATATATATATATATATATATATATATATATATATATATATATATATATATATATATATATATATATATATATATATATATTCCAATTGTCTCGGTTGTATGAATTGTGTATATCTTTGTATTTAATGTGAAACTAATTCTTTCCTGCTATTGACATCATTAAAACTGAAAATATATTTTTAATTTACAACCGTAAATATACTTTCGATTTTCAATTATTTTTAACAAAAAAAAACACGTATTAAAAGTATCAGAAACTGTAAAGAATCTTATTTCAAAAAATGGGGTGGAATAAGAAATCCCTAAGATATTTTTGAATTGAAATTTCGCTAAAAACTTTAAAAAGGTCACAAAGGTGCAATAAGAAATTGTCTGTAGCATAGCATCGTTTAAGCCCAATCAAAATCATGTGGGCTTCCAAGCCCAAGGCAGTCATGGTGAATTCGTATCCAGATTCCAGAATGTTCCTTTGAACCCGTTTAGAAAACCCAGAACATTCCTCTGCTATAGCTGGCGCGAAAACATCCAAACGGCTTTCGATTTTTCTAGCAAATTCTCGCTTCCTCCTTTAATTTATATAAATACCTCATCACATATCCTCCTCCTAAACATAAAAAAATAGCGAATCACAAGATCTTTAAAAACCCAGCACCCAAGAGAAGATGTCACTGATTCCGAGTTTCTTCAATGGAGGAAGACGAAGGAGCAACGTTTTGGATCCATTCTCCCTTGATGTTTGGGATCCATTCAAAGATTTTCCACTATCCAATTCCTTTCCTGATAATAATTCAGCATTTGTGAGCACGCGTGTGGACTGGAAGGAGACTCCAGAAGCGCACGTGTTCAAGGCTGATCTTCCTGGAATGAAGAAGGAAGAAGTGAAGGTTGAGATTGAAGATGATAGCGTTCTTCAGATAAGTGGAGAGAGAAACATTGAGAAGGAAGATACGAATGATGAATGGCATCGCGTGGAGCGAAGTAGTGGAAAATTCATGAGAAGGTTCAGATTACCGGAGAATGCTAAAATGGATCAAGTTAAAGCAAACATGGAGAATGGCGTTCTCACTGTCACCGTTCCTAAACAAGAGGTCAAGAAACCTGAAATCAAGACCATTGATATCTCTGGCTAAACGCACAACGAGTTCTGTTAGAATGGCGCTCTTTGCTAGTTTCTAATGTTTAGTATCAGTTTTTTTTGTGTGTTTCTGTACCGTGTGTGTATGAAAGAAAAAGAACCAAATCATGTAATGTGTTTTGAAGGGTGCCTGAATCAAAATTGAGTCCTCTTATTCTGGTTCTCGTTTTAGAAGGGTGCGTGTGTGTTTTGTGTGCTGTATGTAATTCTGTAATGTGTTATGTAATTTCAAGAATTTGATGTGAATAAACTACCGTTTGAAGTATATATTAAAATTTGATTTGCTCAATTAATAGTAAAATTATATCATATGTTTATTTTTTGCACAAATAAAATTAATTTTAAATAAATTAATTATGTTAAATTAATTTTTGATAAAAAAGATTTAAATAATAAAGTAATTTATATTAAAATAAATTTGTGAATTTTTTTTTGAATAATCATGTATTAAAAAAAAATTCGCAAATAATCATGTTTCAGATGACTCCCCAAAGGAGGAGCCATCTCACTTGGCGCCTACACCCATTATTTAAGGGGAGGCGCCATCTCACTTGACGTCTAGGTGCTTAGGGCTTGCTCTAAGCCAAGTGAGATGGCGCTTTAGTGCATTTCTAAGGCAAATTTCGCGTTTTTTTTTTCAATTCGGTGCGTTGTGTATTCGATACAGGATCAACAAAATTGATTTTTTTATTAAAAAAAATGATTACACCCATAAGTATTACATAAAAAAAAAGATAAAAAAAAAAGATAAATCAGTGGTCTCCCGGAATCCGGTAATGACTCCCGGTTCCGCATCCCCGTCCTCGCCTTTTCCGTGCTGGGTGTCGTCACGTTTCCTGCTGTGGCAGGGTCGATGGCTCAGCGAAGTCAATGCGTTCCGGATCCATAAAATCAGTCAGATCTCCATATCTAGAAGATCCGCTTTGGTACAGTCGGTTACCCATACCCTCAAAGTTTGGTCGTGTTGGCGGTGGATGAGGTTCCATGGTGGGTCTGTAGCATTGATCGTCTGAGTACGAGGGGTAGAAAGGAAATGGATCTTGGGGTGTTTGGTATTGAGGATGTTGGGTGGTTTGGTGATACTGTGGTTGATGGTAAGTTGGATCGGTTGGTTCGTAATCTTCCGACATTCCCAGATCAGGGCTAAGGCTGGATGTTGAGGGGGGGCATATTGGAATATACAGAAGACTGAAATTGTGTGTGGGGTATGCGAGTGTGTTGGTATTGTGATTGGAATTGCGGTTGGGTGTGAGGCATATGGGGGTATTGGTACTGAGGTGGTGATTGTGGTTGGTTGTAGGGCATTTGGGTGTAATTGTGTTGTGGTGGGGACTGTGGTTGGGTGTTTTTGGTTCTGTTTCGTCTGGGGGGTTGGTGGGAGGTTGATGTGTGTTGGGTTTGTTGTTGGGGAAACGAGGGTTGTGCCCATTGTGTTTGTGGGTCAACCAAATACCTTGGATGAGACATGTGCATTTCAGGGTTACTAACCGACCTGTACCAAGATAAATACTGATCCGTGTGTCGCATATTATCATGATTGAAGAAAACCGAGAATTGCAAGACATGTCGGTGACGCCTCTGCCACATCTTACACCATTCTGGAGCAAAGTCTTTCCAGTTGGTAAGACCCCACTGGGCGTCGACCCTTTTGAGATGCCACGGGAACAAACAAGTCGGATCACTTGGTATCTCTTGATGCATTCCGAACTGCATCTTCACACGGTCGATGTGGTGCATCTCCACAACATTGAACCGTATGATTGCAGTCTTGGCGCTCCAAATTGCTGCATCCTCGGGGTTTGGTTCATGGCCAAAACCCAAATATGGTCTCCAGACAAACTGCGAAAAAAATTAAATCAGGTTAATGAAAACGTAATATATAAATAATTTAAATGAAGAAAAGTTGAAAGGTACGACGTACATCATCCGGGCCTAGGTGATCCAACAGATTGCGGTATAGTGCGACATTGAATCTTGGATTCTTTTCGTAATCCATACCCCTCACGCAATACCTAAAGGAAATGAAAAACATTTTATTTTTAGCATATATTTGGTGAAGAGATGAATAGTAATAAATGATATAACTTGATGACTTACTTTGTTGCGTACGGGAAAACAAATGTGTTGTTGACGGGGTTTAAGGACTCCATCCTTCACCAACCTCAGGCTTGAAGTAAAAAAGCGCAGTCATAAAATGTACATTTTTCCTTGACTGCATTTTTGCACAAGGAACTGTATAGGTGGGCTAAAACTGCAGAACCTCAACTATACTTTCTTATTTTTTCAAAATCTCTAAGTAAATGTAAATACATAAAATTTACTCTATTTCCCGTACTTTAGGGAAATAAAAAGGTTCCAAATAGTATCATTATATAAGTTCTAGCTTTTATCACCCTGTCTTGTTCGGAGGAATTTTCGTTTAATTCCAAACTTGCATAATGATTTTTAAGCTCAGTGAGTAGTATACCCTGACCTCTCGCACCACCACCTTCAACCATATCCCTACCCAACAATTCTTCACACTGAGAATTGGGTTGTTGAAACGACCCGTTAACGGCCTTACCATCGACAGGGAGACCCAGTAACATGTACACATCCTCTAGTGTGACGGTACATTCACCTATTGGTAGGTGAAATGTATGGGTCTCTGGTCTCCACCTTTCCAACATTGCAAGAATGAACTTTGAATCAATTGTGCAGTTGGAGATCTTTATAACATGTCCAAAACCTGCGTATTCCAGATATGGTACGATAAATGGATCGGGAGCCAGGTAGTTGTGAGACCGGATTCTGAATCTTTTGGTATCCTGAGTTAATAATGTAAAAGGTGTAAGATTAAGTAAGATAAACAAAGCATTACCTGAAGTATAAAAAATGTATAACCAAAATAGAAACTTACAAATGCGGCCCTGTTGTCCCTTATGCCTCTGTGAGAATCGCCCATTGTGAGAATAGCCATTGTTGAAAATGCATGAGATTATGAAAGACTTAGAAAGTGTAAGAGATTATGAAAGACTTTGTAGCAGAGAGTGAGACGATTGTGGGTGTGAGAGAAGTATGTTATGCTCTGTATTTATAGGAAAACAAATTTCATAGAGTAAGTGAGGTGGTAGCTGGTGCATGCATGCATGATAAGTGTCACTCTTGCAGAGTAGGCGCAGCTAAGTGGCAGCCTTGGAGAAGGCATCTCTGCATGCATGTAACACGATTGGACATTAAGGGAGGCACCATTGGACTTGGCGAAAGAGTACAAAAATGAAAGGTGTCGCCATCCCTATTGGCGAATAAGAGGTGTCATGGGTTACAGAGTAGGCGCAGGCTAGGTGACAGCCTTGGGGATGCCATGCCTGAATGCATGTAACACTATTAGAGGTGATGGGAGGAGACTTACAAGTAACAGTGTAGGTGCAGCTAGGTGGCAGCCTTGGAGAAGGCATCTTTGCATGCATGTAACACGATTGGACATTAAGGAAGGCGCCATTGGACTTGGTGAAAGAGTACAAAAATGAAAGGTGTCGCCATCCCCATTGGCGAATAAGAGGTGTCATGGGTTGCAGAGTAGGCGCAGGCTAGGTAACAACCTTGGGGATGCCATGCCTGAATGCATGTAACACTATTGGAGGTGATGTGAGGAGACTTACAAGTAACAGTGTAGGTGCAGAGTAGGCGCATCTAGGTGGTAGCTTTGGAGAAGGCATCTCTGCATGCATGTAACACGATTGGACATTAAGGGAGGCACCATTGGACTTGGCGAAAGAGTACAAAAATGAAAGGTGTCACCATCCCCATTGGTGAATAAGAGGTGTCATGGGTTGCAGAGTAGGCGCATGCTAGGTGACAGCCTTGGGGATGCCATGTCGGAATGCATGTAACACTGTTGGAGATGATGGGAGGAGACTTACAAGTAACAATGTAGGTGCAGAGTAGGCGCAGCTAGGTGGCAGCCTTGGAGGTTACATCTCTGCATGCATGTAACGCGATTGGACATTAAGGGAGGCGCCATTGGACTTGGAGAAAGAGTACAAAAATGAAAGGTGTCGCCATCCCCATTGGTGAATAAGAGGTGTCATGGGTTGTAGAGTAGGCGCAAGCTAGGCGACATCCTTGGGGATGCCATGCCTGAATGCATGTAACACTATTGGAGGTGATGGGAGGAGACTTACATGTTACAGTGTAGGTGCAGAGTAGGCGCATGCTAGGTGGCAGCCTTGGAGGTTACATCCTTACTTAATTCAAATTCAGTATGACCTATTTAGTCTTACACTTATCAAAACACTGCTTCACTTAATCTGTCAAACCTTCCAACCTTCATACAATTAAACCTTCAAATCTTCAAACAATCAAACATACAAACCTTCAAATAACTTATAAACTTCAAACATTCCAACCTTTAAACCTTCCAACCTTCAAACCTTCATACAATCAAACCTTCAAACAATCAAACATATAAACCTTCGAATAACTCATAAACTTCAAACATTCCAACCTTCAAACCTTCAAACAACCCTATGCAATGACCTCTACACCCCAATATGTCATCAATGCATATTTCAACGGTGAGACATACATTTGTCCCACCTCTGGGTTTTTGTTTAGAGACACAGACAACGTCCGATTTCTTTTAAACGGGAAAGCTAATTTCTCGTACTTCAAAAAAAGATTGGAGGCCAAACTTGGACGAGGCCCAGTGACACAAATATTTTATCAGAATCCAGTTTTTTTTGGAAACAACCAAATAATATTTTATAAGGTTGAGGTTCAAGATGACGAGGATCTTCAGAATATGTTTTCCAGCCATATGTATTCTGGGTATGACTCTATTGAGTTGTACATTATGCTGCGAGAGCCTCAGGTGACACAAGTGGTTGATCCTTTGGAGAACGAACAAGCAGAGGTAGATGCAGTTGATGATGAAGAAGAAGATGACGAGTTAGAGTTTTATGAAATGGTGAATGATGGTTCCGACGATGATGGCATACCTAGTATTCCTGCAAA